GAGAGAGAGAGAGAGAATTTTTTAATATTTATTTTTTAGTTCTTGGCGGACACAACATCTTTGTTTGTATGTGGTGCTGAGGATCGAACCCAGGCCGCACGCACGCCAGACGAGCGCGCTACTGCTTGAGCCACATCCCCAGCCCAACATGTCTGAATCTTAACTGTCATTTACTACCCCAGCATTTTCTCCCTTGTGAAGATAAGCGAGTTACTGTGGGGAAAAAAACTTAAAGTTAGCTCCTACACAATGACATGCAGAAGTGTCAGTGTATTCCAACTATTGCCATTATTTCCTTAGAAAAGGTGCTTCAACCTCTTGTTAAAAACTACACAAGGGTATGAGGGTTCGTAGAGTGGGGACTTCCACTAAAGCTTGGAGAACACACCTGGAATTGGGATTAGGGTGATGATCAGGCATCTTATCCAACTTGAAAAACACAAGTTCTGAAAGTACATCAGGAAAGCTGTGCACCTCTCCATCTTCCCACTGAAGATTTATTGAGAATCTACTATATTGTGCTAGTTTCCAGCACTGGAAGTGACTATTTGTGATTAATGGAATATTAAACATTAAGAATTATGTTCACTGTCAATTAAGAGCTTGGTAATTTACTTTTTGTACTTTAAGAAGCCATTTAAAAGGATGGTATACTCCATAAAAACACAAACAGCAAGGCCCATGGAATGATGGCCCATATACTTTTCATCCAAGTTGAGTAGGGTTTCTAGCTCAGCACTGTTGACATGCTGTACAAAGTAATTCTTTGCTGCTGGGGACTATCCAGCATATTACAAAATGTTTAGCAGCATCTGTAGCTTCTATCCAGCAGTAGCACCCTGCCTTGTGTTGTGACATCCAAAAATGTCACCAGATATCGTCCAATGTTGGGGCAGAGATAGAATGGGGTGCTGTCATCCTTTTGAGGACTACTCAAAAATATTCCAACAATAAGAAGTCATATCATTCAATGTCTTTTTAAGAAAAAGTGGGGGTAATTTTAGTATTAGAAAAAACACAATGCAGGACCTAAAGAATGTTTATTAGTAGATTTGCAGGGCTGGGGATGTGGCTCAAGCGGTAGGTAGCGCGCTCGCCTGGCATGCGTGAGGCCTGGGTTTGATCCTCAGCACCACATACAAACAAAGATGTTGTGTCCGCCAAGAACTAAAAATAAATATTAAAAATTTCTCTCTCTCTCGCTCTAAAAAAAAAAAAAAAAAAAAAAGAATTGCAGGAGCCTCCCTCTATGTACTGTTTTCTTTTTTTTAAATGTATTCTACTTTGTAATATATGCAGCAGAAAGCAATTAAATTCATATTACACATTCAGAGCACAATTTTTCATGTCTCTGGTTGTACACAAAGTAGAGTCACATGACTTTGTGATTTCACCCATATACCATAAACTGACTTATCTGACTCTTTAAAGAGACAGACCAAATTTACATAACCTTTATTACAGTATATTATTATAATTGTTCTAGTGACGATTGTTAATCTCTTACTGTGCCCAATTTATAAATTGAACTTTATCACAGTTATATATATAGGAAGAAATATATATAGGATTTGCTACTATCCTCAGTTTGAGGCATTCACTGGGAGTTTTAGAACTTATACCCTAAAGACAAGAGAGGACTCCTGTACTTAGTTCTTTATTAAAAAAAAAAAAAAAAAAACCATTTTTGATCCCTGGAGAGAATAAAAAAGTGAAAGGAAAGTTGTAAAACAGAATGAATAATGACATCCTAAATTTTAAAATCTATACATGGTTGACATTTTCAATACATTTTTACAAAACTCTTCTCAAAACTGGACTTGAGGGAAGTTGAGATCTCAGAAATATCAGCTGGCCTCTTTAATCTTGTACTTCAGAATTCTGCCAAAAGGAATTCAAATTTACTCATGTGCACACCAACTCCTTCCTTCCTCCTGGCAAAATCCCATAAGGAACTACCCCATTTTGTCAGATTCTGGCAGTTTCATCTTTTACATCATCTCAGACAATGCTTCTTGAATTGAGCTTCACCATAGTTATGGTGGAGTGTGCCCACTGAAGTTTTACCAAAACCAGATAAAACAAAGTTAAACCAATTCTTTCACAGCAGGACTATTTGGAATCTTAGGTGAATTTTCAAGAAGGAGATATTTATATGCTATATTTTCTGAACTATTTGATCTGACCCAAACCTCCTTGTTTTTCCCCCAAGGAAGCTTACTGAGAATTATGGCTTCCTAAAAGGCTAGTTGTGAAATTGATAATTTAGGGATAGTACCAATAGTCAACAAAGTCCAGGGACCTTTGCAATATTAAGGAAACATTAGTGTGGCTTCATTAAGAGTTTGCATCTACTGGTGTCTAAAGCCAAACAGGAGGTCTTGTTCCTAGGATGCCTGCAAATTTCATTCCAATTCCATGATAGAAGTAAATATTTTGTTTATTTATTTTTATGTGGCACTGAGGATTGAACTGAGCGCCTCACATGTGCCAGGCAAGCATTCTACCACTGAGCCACAACCCCAGCCAAAGTATTTTTAAAGTATAAAAATTACTAAAATTTTAAACAGCTTTATTGAGATTTAACTGAAATAGAGTAAAATGTACTTAAAGTGTACAATGTGCTAAGTTTTCATATTTGTGTATACACCAATGCCTCAATGAACACAAGGATATTCACAATTTCCCAAAGTTGTTCTGCTTCTTTTTAATCTCTTCTCCTGGCTCTCTCCATTCCAGAAAACCAGTGATTTGTTTTCTGCCATTATAGAATAGTTTGTACTTTCTAGAATTCTATGATAATGGGATCATACAGTTTATGTACTTTTTTCCTGACTTCTTTAGAAAACTTGAGTATGATTATTTTAACATTCATCTAAGTAGCTGTTTGTATCAAGTTCATTCTTTTATCATTGCTGAATAGCAGTTCATTGTAGAATATATTACACTTTGTTGATCCATTCACCTGTTGCTGGATATTTGGTTTATGCCCATAAGGCTATCACAACTAAAGCTAACATGAACATTTGTGCTTCAATATTTTTGTATTCACGTTTTCATTTTTCTTGACTAAATATGTAAGGATGGAATGGCTGGGCCATATGGTAGGGATATGTTAAACTTCAATTTTTTTTCCAAAAATTATTATAGCGTTTTATATACCCACTACCAGTATATAAAAATAGTAGTTCCACATATGATCAATCCCTTAAATCTAAGGCATTTTAATAGGTGTAAAGTGGTTATCTCACTGCTACAGACTGAATACATCTGTGTCAAATTCTCATGTTGAAACTTAATCAGCAAYGCCATCGTGTCTGGAGGTGGGGCATTTGGGAGGTAATCAGGTCATAAAGTAATCCTCATGAACAGGATTAATGCCTTCATCAGAGAGAAGTTGGTCATCTATAAATTGGGAAGCAGCCCTCCACCACATATCAAATCTTTTCACACCTGATCTTGGGCTTCACAGACTCCAGAACTATGAGAAGTAGAATTTGTGATTTATAAGCTTACCAGTTTCTGACATAAGRTTACAAAAGCCCAAGGACTAAACACTAATTGATTTTAACTTGCATTTCTTTAGAGCTTATCTGTCACAAGGTATGTGCTGTTTATAGACAATTCTTCAAATCATTTATCCCTTTCAAAAATTAGTTGATTTTCTTTTTGTTGACTTYTGAAAGCTCTTTTCATTGTCTAAACACAAAGTCTTTATTCTGAACTTTCATGAAGTAAATGATCAATTTCTTCATTCCACAGAATGCTTTTTGGCATTAATACTAAAAATCTTTGCTTGGTCAAGATCAAAGATCAAGATACTTCCACCTGTTTTCTTTTACAAACTTTAATTGGAACTCTACATTTAAGTCTATATTGAGTTAATTTTTGTATATGGTGCTACGGATGAATGGTAGTTATTTTGTGTGAAGGGGCAGCATATGGATAACAGATTATTCTAGAAACATTTGTTAAAAAGACTATCATTTATCTAACTAAATTGCCTTTGCACCTTGATTGGAAAACAAATGAGCATATATTCAAAGAACAATTTCTGGCTACTATTCTGTTACAATGATCTACATAACCATCTTTCCCTAAGACTACATTTGATTTCTGTGGCTTCATAACAACTTTTGAAATCAGGCAATATATAAGTTCTTGCTGCTCTTTTTCAAGAATGTTTGGTTGTTTTAGATTGTTTGCATTTTCACATGAATTTTATAAATAGCCTGTCCAATAGCTGCTGGAACTCTAACTGGGACTGTGTCGAATCCATTGATCAATTCATGAAGAAAACACTTCTAACAAATACAAAGTCTTCTGTCAGAAGAACATTTACTTAGTAATTCAAGTTTTCCCAGCAATATTTAGTAATTTTCATGGCAGAGTTTTTGTACATCTTTTGTCAAGCTTTTCTCTAAGAATTACATATTGTTTGATGATACCTGATCAATTTCCAATTATTCATTACTAATATGAGGAAATATAATTGAGGGGTTTTTTTTGAGAGAGAATTTTTTTAATATTTATTTTTTAGTTTTCGGTGGACACAACATCTTTATTTTATTTTTATGTGGTGCTGAGGATCGAACCCAGTGACGCGCTCATGTCAGGTGAGCATGTTAMCGCTTGAGCCACATCCCCAGCCCATAATTGAGTTTTCTATGTTGATCCTGTATTCCACCACCCTGCCAAACTTGATTAATTATAGTAGCTTTTAAAAAGATGATCATAACTTCTGAAAATGAAGTTTTATTTCTTTCTTTACATCTTTTTTTAATTTTTCATTTCTTTTTCTGGCCTTGTAATGATTAGAACCTCGAGTACAATGTTGAATCAAAAGTTATAAGAGAGAACTTTATTGTGTGGTCCTAATGTTAGACGGAAATACTCAGTCTTCCATTAAAAATATGGTAATAAATGTAGTTTTTCAGAGGTATCCTTTGTGATTGTTAGTAAATTCCCTTTATTTCTACCATATTATAAATTTTTATCAAGAATGATAGTTAAAAGCATTTTCTAAATCCCTAAGATAACCACGTGATTTTCCTTCTTTGTTCTATTAACATGTTGAACTGACTTTTTCCATTTTTAAGATAAATCTCACTAGGTCTAACCATATTGTTGGATTTCATTTAAAAATTTATTAAGACTTTTTTACACCTTTCTTCACATGGAATATTGGTGCATTCTCCTCTAATGTTTTTGCTTTTAGTAATAACGCAATACTGTTCTCACAAGATGAACTGGGAAATATGTCCTGCTCTCCAGTTTTCAGGAAGACTATGTGAAGAAATAGCATAATTACTTTTCTTAAACATTTCTGCAAATTTGTCAAAAAGTTTATAAAAACAAACTCAATCTCTTTAGATTTAAGGTTATTCAGATTACCCACCTCTTCTTGAGTAAGCTCAGGTAGTTTGCTAATTTTAAGGAATTTGTGTCTTTCTTCAAAAGTTGTTGAATATATTGGCATAAAGTTATTTACAATATTTGCTTGCTATCMTTTAAGTGTCTGCAGAATCTGTAGTGATGTCACCTTTCTTGTTCTTGTTCTTGCTCAGGCCTGTCTGTGAAAAATTCTTTCCATTTTTAGTATGTCTTAAAAAGCTTTATTTTGCCTTCAATGGGTAGAGAACTCTAGGTCGACAGGCATTTTTCCAAACCCTTTGAGCACCTGAAAGCTCTTGCTTCACTGTCTTATCCATAGCAAAGTTTCAGATGAAAAACTTGTTATCATCCTTCCTTACCTTTGCTCTTTTGTAAGTAATTTGTCTTTTGTCTCTGTTGCTTTTAAGATTTTTCTCTTTATCACTGGTTTTAATCAGTTTGATTCTGATGTGCTTCTGTGTAGTTTCACACTTGGGATTTACTGAGTTTCTTGGATCTGTGGTTTAAAAGTTTTTAACAATGTTTAAAAAAAATTCAGCCATTATTTCCTCATATATCACTTGAGTCACACCCTCTCCTTCAATGATTCCAATTACATGTAAATAAGGATGCTTGAAGACAGACCACAGCTCGCTCACTAATGCTTGTCCTTTTTTCCAGACTTTTCCTGTTTGCTTCACTTTACATAGTTTTTACTGCTATGTCTTCAAGTTCACTATTCTCTTCTTCATATACTCTGAAATTCACACCAAGTGTATTTTTTGCACCTTATAGTTGTTTTCATCTCTGGAAAATTCATTTGTGTCTCTTTTTAAAAATGTGTATCTTCCATGTCTTTATTAAACTGTTCCATCTCTCCTCTACCAAATAATTATAAATTGTTATTTAGTTGTTTATTATTACCGCTGGTAGGTCAAATCCAACCCACTATGTCTGCTTTAGAAATAGATCTGTAATTCATTACACAAAAACACTAATTTGTTGACCCGTTATGGCTGCTTTTGTGCTCCAGCAGAATTGAGTTATACCAGAAGTTGTATATGACACAAAACAAAAATATTTACCATCTGACCATTTTCCTAACTCTTAATCTTAGCTTCTTCAACATACTGATCACAAGCATATAATAACTGTTTTAATGTCATCTGTCATTGCTGGGTTGGTTTTGACTGGTTTTTCTTCTCATTTTGGATATTTTCCTGCTTCTTTGTATGATTGATGTATATATATTTTTTGTTTTTGTTTGTTAGTGCTGCATGTTTTTTTTTCATTCTTATATTCTTGAGCTCTGTTCTGGTACATAGTTACTTGAAAAGAGTTTGATCATTTCAATCTTACTTTAAGTTTGCCACTTAGTCTGGGCCTAATTTTACACCAAAGCCAAACTCTTCTGAGTTTAGCTGATGCTCTGTGAATTATGAGATTATTTTTCCTCTGTTCATTGAAAAGAAGTACAATTCATAGCTCTAATTGAGTTTTAGGGATTGTTTCCTTTAATTCTTCTGGATGTTTTTCCCCACCGGTGGGTGATTGCTCACATACATGTGCTGATCAATACTTAGCTGACAACTAAAAGAGAAAGAACCCTTTGCCAATCTCTGGAACTCTCTGTACTGTTCTTTCCTCTTCAGGTCTCTGCGCTGTGAACGCAAGCCATCTCAGCCTCCATGAATTCCAGCTTCACATGGACTCCCCCTCCCTACAACATGGCCTGGAACTCTCTCCAGGCTTGAAGTTGGGGCAATCATAGGGCTCACCTCATTTGTCTCCTGTTTCTTGGGAATCAGTGTCCTTCCTTGCCTGTTGGTCAATATCTTGAAAACCGTTGTTTCATATATTGTGTCCATGTTTTTAGTTGTTTCAGGCTGGAGAGTAATTCCAGTTCCTGTTACACCATCTTGGCCAGAAGTAGTAGTCCTAAAAACTACTAAAATTTTCCAAAGAGGGAAAACTGCTTAAAGGGTAAATGATGGAAAATCATTATCAAGTAGATGGGACCTAACTAGATTCCTGTATGTATTTAGGAAAAGGAAAGGAAAATTTCTTTACGAAGTGTATTATCATACTGTTATTTTTACAGATATATCCATTAAAGAAACTAACTTATTCATAAAAATATATTTTATTGTTAGAAATAACTCCAACTAATCACTGCTGGTAATAAAATAAAAATCTTTATCTATTAAATTTCAAAATGCCTAAATATGTGAACACAGTAATTCTGCTTAGAAGAACTTATTCAACAGATATATAAAAACAAATAATGGAAAATTTGTGAGACAAATTATATTTTCACAGTGTACTTTACCTAGAATACTTATATAATAATGTATTTTTAAAAATGTTTTTAAATTTTATAATAACTTAAGAATTACAGAAAAGTTATAAAACTAGTACTAAGAATTCCTAGTCACCCTTCACCTAGACTTCTCAAATTTTAATATTTTACCATGTTTGCATATTGCTTTTTAAACCTTTAAGAACCTTTATAGACATATCATTTTACCCAATATACCAAAGTGTTTATTTTTTGAAAAAAGACATTCTTATAATTACAATGCAATTATCAATTACACAATACTAATATCTATTCTACAGATTTTACTCGAATTTGTCACTTACCCAATAAACCTGTACTTGTGGGGGTGGGGTGTTATCAAGATAAACTGCTGCTCTTTGCCCTATCAGGACAGCCACTGGGTTTTGCACAAAAAAAAATGTGTTGGAACACAGAAATTCCATTCCTAAGAACAGAGTTGACAATTCACAATAGACTCAATCTGGCCCACAAAGGCAACATGTTTATTATCTGATCTATTACAGAAACCATTTGCCTACTCCAGCTTTATAGCACAGGAAAACTTTTTTCCTAGCTCAGGATTTACTTAAATGGGGTTATGTCTCTATGGTTTCCTTTAATCCAGAGTAGTTCTTCAATCTGTGGTTTTATTTATTGATTGATTTAGCTAGCTAGCTAGGGGGGAATTAAACCCAGTGAGGCTTAAACACTGAGCCATATCCACCCTTTTTATATTTTTATTTTGAGACAGGGACTTGCAGTGTTGCTTAAGCTGGCTTTGAACTTTCGAACATCCTGTCTCAGCCTCCCAAGCTGCTGGGATTACAGGCATGCACCACTATGCCCTGGCCAATCTGTGGTTTTGACCTTGAGATTTTGAAGAATGAATATAATTTATTATAGAGAATGTCCCTCCTTTTGCATCTCTCTGATGCTTCCTTTCACCTAAAGTGATAGGATGTCCTCCTTGGGATGCACATTATATCTATTTGTCCATTACTGGTGATGCTAATATAGATCACTTACGTAAAGTGGTATCTGCTAATTTTCTGCACTGCCATTTTACTGTCCCTTTAAACTTCAAAGTGGTTTGGAATTAGACATTTTGCTTTTCTTTAAATTTTAATCCAGTTTAAGCATCCACTTGATGATTTCTGTCTGAAATAAAAATCACTATTGTGTCTAACAAGTAGTGATTTCCTTAATTTAATAATATTCCTTCTACATTTATTAGATGGTATTCTTTTATAAGGAAAAGCTATCCCCTGTTCCCTATTTACTCATTTATATAAATAATTTTAAAATATTTACATAAGTAAATAATTCTAGAATTTTAGGGACTTTAGAATATATGAATAGAATTCAAGGTTTGAGGTTACCAAAACTAAAAATCCGAAACCCATAATGTTTGAAAATCTGAAACTTTTTGAGCATTATGGTGACACTCAAAAAAGTTTGGATTTTCAGATTAGAAATGCTCAAGCTGCACAGACTACTAAACTGTCACTTGATTCTACAGATTTTAATCCATTACATTATTATTTATTTGATGATGAAAATGTTCTAGATTTGGCCAACAAAAACAGCTCCTTTAAATCGTCTCCTGTGTTCTTCTGGCAGGTCCTATTCTTTTAAGTGCAACCTTTTTTTAAATAGTAGCATTAATTTGGAAATAACCTAAATGGTCACCAATATGGAATATTAAATAAAGAAAGGTATGAAGACAATGGAAAACTAGGAAGCCATTAAGGAGAACTATCCAAGTAGAAGTTGTATTGTGGTTACAAAGTAGGGAACAACAGTAGGATATGTTTCCAGTTCAGTGGGAAAAGAAAAAGAAAAAAGACAGACATATTTATCTCTTTATATACAATTTTCTTGAAAGATTAAAAAAAGAAATTAGTAATAATGAACACTAGGACTATGACTAGGGTTGAGTTTCTTTATTTTATAACCTCTGACCTAAAATTTTTTAGTTGTTTTTAAAATAATATTTTAAAATTTAACATATATAGTAAGATGTATAGTATAAAATCAATTTATGTAATTAGAACATAGTACCAGTTTATTCTCACTAAAAACAGGCAAAACCTCATATTTTCTTTAAAATGGTGAAAAATGTTTTCCTTAAAATTCTTTAAATCATTAAATCTGTAATCAGCAAACTGTGACTGGTTAAACACTTCTGGATACAAGTTTTGTTTATATTGTTGCCCTTGTTACATTCACCATACAATACTGAAGATTAATTCTCAAAATGGTTTCATCTTTCCTCTTTGAACTATATCCTATTATTTCTGTTTTGTTTGTTTCTTTTTGAGGGAAGCAGAGGAGAAAGTTGGGGGATGGGAACGTATTTATGCTCTAGATACCAATATTTGAATGATTTCTAAGAGCACCTAATTATAGTCTCTAAAATGACAGGATCTCCATGCATATAAAATGTTTGAGTAGATGATTAATATAATACTTACCTAGTGAGTCGTTTAGGTGGGGGCCTCTCACCAAATTTCCTAGAAAATAAAGTAAAAAAAAAAAAAATTAAACACACTGCATGAGATACTCCATAGTAAGTTATTTTAGGTACCATGAAATTTCCTTTATGACTTCAACCTCACTGAGTAACAGTGGAAAGAGAAATCATCCAGCAATCAACTGCACCAGGAAATAACAAAATATACACTTTAAAACAGTTCTTAAAACAAGCAGCATACCCCAAGTAGGCCTTATACACCTACTCAAGCAAGAACACTGATCAGATGAGGATAACAGGTTCTGTAATTTTAGAGACATCTCAAAAAAATTAAAAAATTAAAAAAATAACTAACCAAAGATCCCCCAGTTTCTCATAATTGGCAGCACTAAGAAAAATACTCTCAGCTCAAGAGGGGATACAGCATTCACAAGTGTTTGCCATGTTTCAGGCTCTACATACTTTTACACATTACCATATTTTATCATTATAAAACAATTCTATAAGGTATATATTGGCCTCATCTTAAAGATGAGAAAACAATTTGTCCAAAGTCACAAAGTAAATTAAGTGGTAGGACAACTTAAGAATGAAACCCAGATTTTTGACAACTGTTTTACAGTCTAATTAATTAGGCCCTGTAAGAGAAATGTGCAAAATGGGTTAGCATATAGGCATTCACTTAATTGGGAGCAGGCAAGGGGAAAATCATAAGCAAAAGAAAAACCACAGAATTCAGGATGGAATGATAACACAACACTAGAGTGAGGCTCTGGAGTAGGACTGTTTTGAGTTCAAATTCATAATTTGGCATTTACTTGCTATGTAACTGAAATTAGTTGTGATTCTACAAAACTTAAGTTTTCCTATCAATAAAAAGGACATAGTAGTGTTGAGAGAATTAAAGGTGGAAATTGATGTTCTAATTAATATAGAGAAAATATACAGAACAGTTCCTGAAAAACAGTATGTGCTCAAATAACAATTTTTAAGGTTATAAATGGTTAAGCCAAAAGAACTAAATAAAGCAACTACAAAACCAATAGAGACAAGTACAAGAAGAGTAAACTAGTTCCTAGGTGATAATCTCTTTATTTCTTCTGAAACAGGAAAATGTGATWCTCTTTTGAAAGACAGTGATGAAACTGCATTTGAAGAGAAAGGCCAATAGATGTTTTTTTTATCTATAAGCAAGACTGCTGTTATAAGCAGTTACTTGTTCAGAAGCACAGTTACAGGCTGTGAAGGCTTATTGACTTACAATATCTGTGCTATATTTGTGAAGTTCCACAAGACTATTAACTTTGATGATAAGTCTTAGGATTCTATTTAGTTCATTTCCTGCAGTTAAATAAATGTCATAGTGACACTGACACTGTTTATGAATTCAATATCTATAAGTGATAGGTAACTATACCTAATATTTTCATATTTTAATTAATTCTAAAACATCAAAAAGTGGCTTTAACTGAAATAGCACAAAATGAGCAAAATATACATTCTTACGAGCAGAATTCTCATTAGTTTTCTTTTGATTTTTTATACTACAAAATACTCAATTTTTAAAATCAAGAAACAAAACACAACGTTTTAATGGTAACACCAGCAAGGCAAGCTAAAAAGACCATTCAAAACACTCAACTATTGGTTGATCCATGAATCACAGCTATGGAGTTAAAAGCAAAAATCAGCACTGAATCTTTTTCTACTGGAAAGGTTTTTTTTAAAATCCGTAAACTGATTAATTGTACCACTACAGCACATAGGTACAATAAAACTGTCTTAGCATTAGCAGACAGATACAGAATATCTTATAAAACCCACAAAGATTATTATACATGTAGAACCATATTTCTTAGAAGCACAGTGAAGTTTGGTTGGAATCTACCTAAGGGTTCAATCGGTAAAAATTTTAGACAGATAATGAACGAAATAAAAATCTCAATATTGCCATCATCTTTTCTACTAGCTCTAATATTATAGCTAGAACTACTAAGGACTACTAAGAGTCACTACACTCAAAATTCAAATGTTAAATTTTATTTTTACATGCTTAAAATTCTGGAAAAGTTACATTCACAAGTAAATGACGATTAAAATAGCCAAGACCCTTTTTAAAAAATACTAATTAAATCAAGCTAACAATTACAAAGCATGCTTGCACAACATCACTCCTGCATCAACAGAAAATCGGAGCAACAGAGGTACTGCTGAGACTGGAAAACAACACACAAAACCATGAATCATCTTCTACCTAGGTGCCTATTCTAAGGCCAGGAATAATAAAAATTGAAATCAAATTGCTTCTTATGTACATAATAAAGTCATCTCCAATAATTCTGTGTGCAATCCTGACCCTCTGTTTAACACACGTGACATCACATTCCTGTTTATCTCATTTAACTAATGGTTACTGTATTTAATGGAGTGTGGGAAGAATTAAAAAATGGGATGTCAAGAAGATTTCACAAAGCATGTACTAGATTCACAATGTACAACTCTGATGGGCATGATGCAACTAAATTTTGATCATTTAATAAATCCTCTTTGGCATACATATGAAAAAAATGTCAAGTTAAACTAAGATATACAGTATCTTGTACTGACCAACTCCCATCTCCATTAACTAATCTGATACATGACTAACATAAAACTCTGAGAATTATTTACTGGAAAAAAGAAGGCCTTCCCTTTTAATCACTGGTGAGTCCATAAAATTCATGATGTAATATATAGAGTATGCAACCAAAATAATCACTTCTCAGCAGAAAAATAGCAACCAACTGTCAATTACTGAGACTGATTATAACCTAAAGATTAGGAGATGGGCAAGTACAGTTTGCAATCTACCTTGAAAAACATCTGTGTACCTACATAATCTAAATTAACAAGTGACTAGAAATAAGCTGGGCCAAGTTTACACCACTGTATGTAAACCATCATTTTATAATAGGTATAGGCTATGTTTCACAATACAAAGGAAAAAAATGTAAGCCTATAAGTGTCCAAGGAACCTTCTTAATTTCATAGAATAATGAGTTAAACTGCTATTCAATTTCTCTTTTGATGATTATAGATTGTCAACACTGCATTTGCATGAGGTTTCTCAAATTTTCTACATTCTGCATAAATTTACTTTTAATTAAATGTAATAATCCCGATAAATATGTAAAGTGAAAAGGTTCTGATTCTAGGCCTTTCTTTTTTAAAGTAAAAAGCGAAAATCAGCTAGAGTACTGTTGATTTGCACCATGCCCCTCCCTTCTTGTTCTATGTTCACATATTTCTTCCTCAGACTGGAGTGAAAGTGAATGAAACATGTGCTTGCTTTACCCAGTATGCTCATATAATAATTTGGCTCAATAAAATTTATATCTTCAGTGTATATATATCATCAGTATAATTTTAAATTAGCAAATTCATTTTACTTTTAATGCACTGGCTTTCCCTTCTTAGACAATAAGGATCTTATATTCCCCCAAATGAGAAGAGCTAGGGAAAATGCTAATCACAGTAGCTAAATTTAATTTTATACATCAAAAAGTGTGAGATTGGGCTGGGGATGTGGCTCAAGCGGTAACGCGCTTGCCTGGCATGCGCAGGGCGTTGGGTTCGATCCTCAGCACCACATAAAAATAAAGATGATGTGTCCACCAAAAACTAAAAAATAAATATTAAAAAATTCTTTCTCTCTCTCTCTCTCTCTCTTAAGAAAAAAAGAAGTGTGTGATAGATTGTTTTAAGTTGCAATTTCATTAAACATGACACTTCCTACCTGATGGGTTCCCATATATCCTCTAATCTCTTAGAATTTTCAAAATATGTGGAAAACTTACACACATATTAAACTTATATACTCGTACTTCCTTCTGTTYATGGAGGAAGTACAGCAGTGTTTCCTCCCACACAAGATATACTTCCTTGTATATTCAGTCTGTGAAGTAAGTATATGACCACAAATGTGCTGAGGACAAATATGATAAAAAATTATTAAACCTTTTCTGGCTAAAAGATATTTCACATGAGAAAACCAAGTCAAAAATCAAGAAGGGAGGGGAAACAAACAAGAAAAAAAATGTTTTAAGATACAGAACAATTTGGTAATTACACCACTATTAAGATAAAGCAAAAACCCTCATGTATTTAGAATATTGTCTAGTAACAGTAGTAGAACTTTGGTTTTGAAAATAAACAGATGGCTTGAAAAATAAGCTCAAATCATTAGGGAAACTTCTGGATTGTAGAACTTAAAAGTATTTCTTTCTAGTTTCCAAATTTTCTACTTAATGCAGAAATGAGATTAAAATAAATAAAGAAAGAAACAATGTACAAATGAAAGCATTAACTACCTAAATTCATAATTAAACCGAACTTTACACTAAACCTGTAATAAACAGTTTTTAATTTTATACAATCAAAAGCATTGGGATCTTCTGAACCATGATTTAAGAGAGGGAAATGAAGAAGCACTAAATTAGGGAAAAATAAATAAAWAATGTATATACACACATTAGAAAAGGGTACATGTAATGTTCTTTCCAAATCTGTTCTTCAGCAAGTATTTATTGAATATGTAGCAAGGGCCAAGTACAGGTATTTGGTATGTGCATGTATGTGTATGTGCATGCACTCACACTCACATGGATCAGTGAACAAGAGACACATGCTTCTATGAAACTTATGTGCAATTGGGACAAATGGACAATGATTTACTACAAAAGATTTACTCATTTTCCATCCATGGACAAATACAGAATGAAACAGCTTATATTAAGTCACACAATCTCTAAACAAGACACTATATCTGTGGCTGGGAGTGCAGCTTAATGGTAAAATATTTGCCCAGCATGTATATGTGTATAAGGCCCTGAAATTGATCCCCAGCACTGCAAAAATAAATAAACTAGGTCAGCTTTTTTCACACTTCAATTTCTAGTTGTGAACCTGCTTATACTTTAAGAACCACATTTAACAGCAATGTTGCTCCAAACTCAGGTAGGTATAGCTAGTGCTCCCTCATTACTATAACAAAGATGACCA